GTCGGTGGGGGGGGGGGGGGGGCAGTGCAAGCCTCTTCCCTCTCCTGGAGTTAAGAGCCACATGGAGGGAGCAGCTGCATTTTTGAGCAGTCTGGGGCTGCAGCAGGCAGGGAGCCCAGCCTGTCTTGGGGCTGTCACAGGGCGGCTGGCCAGGAGAAGCTTAGGTAAGCGCCTCCCAACCAGAGCCTGCCTCTGGCACCCCACCCCTCCCATACCCCAACTCCCTCCCCAGGTCACCATCCAAACCCTCTGCATCCCCCTGCTCTGGGTCACAACTCCCTCCCAGACCCTGTACGCCCTCTGACATCTGTCCCCCAGTCCAGAATCCTCTCCTGCACCCATACTCCCTCCCTGACCCTGCCCCCCATTCCTCTGCCCCGAGTCAGACCTCACACTGTCTGCTGCATCCCAGTCCATTATCCCTGCGCCCTTCTGCACCCAACCTCCATCCTAGACCACACGCCCCCTCCAAAGCAAAGTGTGGCCCTTGACCACTTGGAGTACACCCCACCAAAAATTATTGCCCACCCCTCCAGTTAGCTAAAATACTTAATGTAATCAATTAGCATTGGCGCCATTTTTTTTTTCCAAATTAGGCCAAGGATTTGACTCCTCCATTGGGATGCCTTTAAAATTCAAGCCCTGCCCTCTGCTGCACAGATGAGCTTGGAGGAAATGGCACGTGGAACGTTTTTCTTGCCTTCCTTCTTACTGAGCCTGTATGAGAGCGGAGCTGTATCCCTACCTACTGTTCACCTGAATACTGAGATAAAGCTTAGCTTCTGCCCTGTAGCAGGTGACATAGCCAACTTTTTAGAAGCCACCGCACAACTGGGAATATGAACACACTCTGATCCAATCAAGGGCAGGGAAGACACACAGCCCAAATGGTTTCTTTCACCATTTGTCCTATGCAAACATTTGATTGACAGGAAATCCAGGAATTCACTGAGCAAAACCAAGAGATTCAGTAGATGTGCCCCTTTAAGCAATGGCCCATCTGCTTAGTTCATAAACCTGTCAGATGTTCCAAATAAAATACGTTACCCACCTGTCCTTGATGGACTTCCCCTCGCTTTCTACTGTGCTGGTGAAGATAAGAATCCTGTTTCTGGGTAGCTAATCCCAAAGTATGTTTATTTTTTTCCACAAAGTCTTTTTTTGCTTTCTGCTTTTGTGTTTCAGGAAAAACATCACCATATGCACTGGAACTGTGTTTGTATTGACAATCATCTGCCAATCGCTTTCCTTTCATATGCAATCTAAAAGGGGCACTGCTTATCCCAACTGGTTGACCATCAAGGTTTAATAATTCTGTATCAAATGCAGAAGATAAATTTTGTCTTTCTATCAGCTGGTTATCTTCTTCCAAGATTCTCACCAAGGTGTCCTTAGAAGTGACAAAAAATGAGTCCTGTGGGACTCTCTCATGAACCTCATGCGTTATATTCAATCCAGAAAACTTTGCTCTCTCTTCATTATTCTTCCAGTTGGGATTGTATCTTAGGTTGCAGTATCTGTCCACATGTTGCTGTTTGCTGTGAAAATGAGTAAAAGAAATACAGTATTAACATTTTTAAAAAAGAGAAAAAACATTCAACAATTATAGTTAGGGCCCTACCAAATTCATGGCCATGAAAAATGCATCAATGACTGTGAAATCTAGTCTTTTGTGTGCTCTTAACCTATGCTATCCAGATTTTATGGGGGAAGACCAGCTTTTCTCAAAATGGGTAGACTGACCCAAAAGGAAGTTGCAGGGGGGTAGCAAAGATATTTTAGGGGGGTTGCAGTATTGCCATCCTTATTTCTGCACTGCCTTTAGAGCTAGACAGCTAGAGAGTGTCAGCTCCCAGCTGAGGGCCCAGCTCTGCAGTACGGGTAGTAACACCCTACCAGGCTACCCTTATTTCTGCGCTGCTGCTGGTTGTGTGTCTGCTTTCAGAGCCGGGCTCCCAGTCAGCAGCTCCCAGTCTCTAGCTGCCGAGATCTGAAAGCAACATTGCTGCCAGAAGCAGTGCAGAAATTGATGAATGGTGTCTAGTCTGTCTGGTTGGGAATGTTGGCAGTTCTAGATAGCAGTACTGTAACCTTGCCTACAATAACTTTGCAATCTCCCTCCATCTCCTTTTTGGGTCAAGACCCTAATGTTACAATACTGTGAAATTTCAGATTTAAATAGCTGAAATAATTAAAGTTACTGTTTTTAAAATTCCATAGCTGCGAAATTGACTGCCATGCAGTACAAGAGGTTTAGATTGGACATTCCGAAAAAATTCCTAATGATCAAGGTACCGTATTTTCCGGCGTATAGGGCGACTGGGCGTATAAGACGACCCCCTAATTTTTTAATTAAAAGATAGGGTTTCATCTTATACCCCAGCGCCCCTCCGCCTCCTTTGCTCCCGGTGTCCCTGGTCTGCTGGAGATGGTCCCCATCAGACCAGAGGCACCGGGAGCAAAGCCGCAG